CACACACACACACACACACACACACACACACACACACACACTCGCACACACACACTCACACACACACGCACACACATATATATTTTTTTATATATATATATATATATATACATATACACAGTGTGTGTATACGGTAAAACCCTAACCCTAATTTTATAAATTAAATCTTAAATTATATTATAATTAAGTATGATATATTATAATATGTATTTTAATATTTATTTATGAGTATTATGAAATATTTATATGACAAATATATAAATATATAAAAAATCCATTGGGGGTTAAAAAATACATAAAGGTTAAAATTATACATCAATTAATTAATAAATATTTTTATGTTGTTATATACTGTAAAACCCTAACCCCTATATGATTAAATATATAAATGCATAATATGTTTTTTTAATATTTATTTAAGAGCATTATGAAATATTTAAACAAAAAATATTTTATAATAAAAATACATTTCATATATAAAATATATGCATATAAATATACACATAAATAAAAACAGAATTCATATATGTAGTTGTAATTTAATTTGTAATTTCATTTTTGTATGGTTCAAAAATATTTAAAAATATTCATACGTAAATTTGTATATTTAATAAAGCAGTACGTTTTAACATATATCATACTTAATTAAAATATAATTATAATAATTAAATGTAATTTAATGCATCTATGTTTATATATATTTATATGTTTTTCATTCATACTAAATATAGATTTTTAACAAATATTTACCTTTTTTGCATTTTTTAAAAAATGATTTAAAATGAATAAACACACATAAAATATGCATTTCTTTGTGATTTTAAGGGAGGTTTTGTCAGTTTTCCAGAGACTGTAAACAGAAGTCTGCTGCTGAAGTGTTGACGGGTTTGTGTCTGTGTTTCTGATGAAAGTCACGGCACACTGAGCCTCTGTAATGCCATGCATGTATGAATGTATGAGAGGAGTTTTCTGTTCTCTAATGTGTGATATGTGAGCGTGTTGCTGTCAGATGCTCCAGTGCTCTTTCCTCTGAGGTTTCCAGCACAAAGCGTGTCTGTGATCGTCTCACCTCCTCATTGTTCTGCCTGTGGTTTGTCAGTGGTGTGTTTCTCAGAAGAGTCTGTTGTTAAATGTCACGTGTGTGTGTGTGTGTGTTCAGAGCGCAGCTCCTCGGATCCCGGCATGTATCCGGCCGCGGAGCCTCCTGCAGGACGCAGTCACACGGGTCAGCTCTTCTTCGAGTATCTGCTGGTGGTCAGTCTGAGGAAGAAGAGGAACAAGGAAGATTACGAGCCCCACATCACCTACCAGTTCCCCAAGGTCAGACCAGTGAGTGTGTGTGTGTGTGTGCACGTTCAAAGTACTGACTGTATTGTGTGTGTGTGTGTAGCGTGAGGTGATGGGGCGTCTGCAGCGCGAGGAAGAGGAGAAGTGCATGAAAGCCGCTCATCTCTTCTGCTTTCCAGAGGGAATCAACTGGGCTCCTCTGACCGAATACAAGAGGTACACACACACACACACACTCTCACACTCTCACACACACACACACACACACTCTCACACACACACACTCACTCCCACACACACACACACACACACACTCTCACACTCTCACACACACACACTCTCACACACACACTCTCACACACACACACGCACACACACACGCACTCACACACACACTCTCTCTCTCACACACACTGTGTGTGCGCGTTTTTGTGACAAATGAGGACATAAATGTGTATAATGACAAAGGTATGACAGATATTACAAGGAGAAGGTGACTTTTCAGGACATTACCCCATGTCCCCACTTTTCAAAAAGCTTATAAATCACACAGAATGGAGTGTATTGA